ATCCCAGATCCAGCTGATTCCATTTAAATGAAATCTAAGTAGAATCTAACTAGACTTGTGCAGATCCCAGATCCAGCTGATTCTCATGATACTCATCTTATAATCTAATTCGAACCGAATTGGAATGGGGCAGATCCCATATCCAGCTGATTCCAATGTGATTCCTCTTGGGATCTAGTTCGAATCTAATTGGAATTGAACAGGTCTCAGGCCCAGCTAATTCCAGTTGTATTCCTGTTTGAACCTGCTTGAAATGGAGCAGATCTCAGATCCAGAAGAATTTAAGTGCAATTGGGCACGTCCCATGCCCAGCTGAGTCCTATTGGGATTCCTTATTGGAATCTACTTAGAAGCTAATTGGAATTGGGAAGATGACAGATCCAACGGATTCCGAATATATTCCTGTTGAAATCAAATTAAAATATGATTGATATTGACGAGACCCCAAATCCTAATTCGAATTGGGCAGATCCCGGATCCAACATTTTCTAAATGTAGTCGTATTGGAGTCTAATTCGAATCAACTTGGAGTTGAGCAGATCCCGGATCCAGCTGATCCCGATTAGGCAGCACGCGCAAACAACGGAAACATGACGAATAGAGGAGATGGATGAGCAGGCACGGATGAACAGAAGCCGGATTATCAGTAAGAGTACGAATGGAGAGCTCAACGACCCATGCAAAATGAATGGGAGATGAATGGGTGCTCGGGGGAGTCTGCGCATACATATATACATATGTACGCATACATACATATATACATACCTGTATGCATACATACATATATGCATACATACATACATACATACATACATACATGCATGCATGCATGCATGCATGCATACATACAATCATACATGCATAAAAACATATACATACATACATACATACATACATACATACATACATACATATGTACGTACATACATACATACATACATACAAACATACATACATGCCATACATGCATGCATGCATGCATGCATGCATACATATATATATATATAGGTATATATATTCTCTGTACCCCTATATGTGTATTTGAGGTGGAAGACAGTTGATGTGAAGGACTCACTCCTCTTCCTCCTCCCCCGGTCCTCCTCCTCCTCCTCCTCAAGGAGGTGGAGCCCCTCAAGAGTTCCTCCTCCTTGAGCTGAGTCCGCTCATGCCTGGGGAGGCCCCCCCAAAACCCTCATGAAATGAAACTAACTGCCCCCACTAGGCTTCGGAGAAGCTTTCCAACAGATCCCACAGGCATCCACTATGCCTCTGACCTACAACTCAAAGACGGTGGCGGGACGGGCTGAATGCCCTTAGTTCCGCCGCCCCCTGTCGATTCATCGCAGGGGTGCCTGGCGTGGTTCTTTTTCCAAAAGAACTCTCCCAATGGGTTTCGGCCCGCCCCGCCGGGGTCCCGGGAGGCCATTGCACGTGCAGAAACTCCCGAATAAATCCTCCAAGACGGCTCAAGATGGCGTCCAAGACGGCCAAGATGGCCTCCGATGGCCTCCAAGATGGTCCGAGATGACCTCCAAGTCCGCCCAAGATGGTCCAAGACAGCCTCCAAGACGGCCCAAGAGAGTCCAAGACGGCCCAAGAGGCCCCCCAGAGGCCTCCCAGACGGCCCAAGAGGCCTCCAAGAGGTCCTCCAGGAGGGCCCGAAGAGGCCAAAATCATTGCTTTTCCATTGGTTTTTGAAGGATTTGTGAATTTGCTTCTTCTCGGCATTCCGACGGCGCAAGACGGCCCCAGAGGCCCCCAAGATCGCCCAAGAGGCCCCCAAGAGGGCCCATGACGGCCCAAGTGGCCTCCAAGATGGCCCCAAGAGGGCCCTAAGACTGCCCAAGAGGCTCCAACACGCCCAAGATGGCCTCCAAGACGCCCAAGATGGCCTCCAAGACGGCCCCGAAGCGCCCCAAGAGGGTCCCCCGTTGGCCCAGAAAGGTCCCCAAGACGGCTCCCGACGGCGTCAGACGTGCCAGGAACCCACCAAGATGGCCGAAGTTGGCTCGAAGCTGGTCCAAGACGGCCCAAGAGGCCCCCAAGAGGGCCTCCAGGAAGGCCAGAAGAGGCCCAAAACATTGATTTTCCTGAGGTTTTTGACGGATTTTGACATTTCCTCCTTTTCGGCCTTCCGACGGCCCGAGACGGCCCAAGAGGCCCCAAAGATGGCCGAACGATCGCCCAAGAGGCCTCCAAGACGGCCAAGATGACCTTCAAGATGCCCACGTGTTCCCCGAAAGCTTTCCAAACCGATTCGGGGAACACATGGTCCGATGGCTTGGCAGGTCTGGCCTCAACGTTCGGCCAGATAGGCGCTTCCAAAAAGGCAGGGGGCGGCGGTGGTTCGCCGTAGGCGTCGTCGTCGTCGTCGTCGCCCCCTGTCGATTCATCGCAAGGGTGCCTGGCGTGCTAGACCTCTCGGTTTTTGTTTTGGTTCTTTTTCCAAAAGAACTCTCCCAATGGGTTTCGGCCCGTCCCGCCGGGGTCCCGTGAGGCCCTTCCACGTGCACAAACTCCGGAAAACATCCTCCCTGAAACGGCCGTTTCGCTCGGGACATCATCAACAAATCGCGAAGATGGCCCAAGATGGCCTCCAAGTCCGCCCAAGATGGTCCAAGACGGCCTCCAAGACGTCCCAAGAGAGTCCAAGACGGCCCAAGAGGCCCCCGAGCGGCCTCCCAGACGGCCCAAGAGGCCTCCAGGAGGGCCCGAAGAGGCCAAACTCATTGCTTTTCCATTGGTTTTTGAAGGATTTGTGAATTTGCTTCTTCTCGGCATTCCGACGGCTCAAGACGGCCCCAGAGGCCCCCCAAGATCGCCCAAGAGGCCCCCAAGAGGGCCCCATGACGGCCCAAGTGGCCTCCAGGATGGCCCAAAGAGGGCCCCAAGACTGCCCAAGAGGCCTCCAACACGCCCAAGATGGCCTCCAAGACGCCCAAGATGGCCTCCAAGACGGCCCCGAAGCGCCCCAAGAGGGTCCCCCGTTGGCCCAGAAAGGCCCCCAAGACGGCTCCCGACGGCGTCAGACGTGCCAGGAACCCACCAAGATGGCCGAAGTTGGCTCGAAGCTGGCCCAAGACGGCCCAAGAGGCCCCCAAGAGGGCCTCCAGGAAGGCCAGAAGAAGCCAAAAACATTGATTTTCCTAAGGTTTTTGACGGATTTTGTCATTTCCTCCTTTTCGGCCTTCCGACGGCCCGAGACGGCCCAAGAGGCCCCAAAGATGGCCGAAAGATCGCCCAAGAGGCCTCCAAGACGGCCAAGATGACCTTCAAGATGCCCACGTGTTCCCCGAAGGCTTTCCAAACCGATTCGGGGAACACATGGTCCGATGGCTTGGCAGGTCTGGCCTCAACGTTCGGCCACATAGGCGCTTCCAAAAAGGCAGGGGGCGGCGGTGGTTCGCCGTAGGCGTCTTCGATATCTCTAGGGTGGAGGGAGGTAAATTTGAAAAACCCACATCCTCCTTGAGAGCTATGGACGTCCCTATTTTCGGTATTCAGGGGCTTTCGCTGTGCCTCGGGACCGCCGCAAAAACGACTCAAGATGAAGCGGTGGTCCGGGGGAAGGTGTTCGGACCTCTGGGGACCCACGTGAACAAAAATCACAACGTCAGAAATCTGGGGCTCCTCCTCCTCCTCCACCTCCTCCTCCTCCTCACTGGTCTCATCCTGGCTGTGCCGCCGCCCGCGACCCTCGAACGTTCAATCGGCCAATCCGGCACACGGGCGTGTCCTCGTCCGTCTTCCGCTCGGCTCGCCATCGCTCGGACGCCCACTTCCCGTGCATTCTTCGGGTTCGCGCGTGTTTTTTTTGTTGGGGCTCCATGGTCCAGGATCGTCCTCAATGGTTCTCGCCGAGAAAATGACTACCTACCAGACCACCCCAACCCAACCCGAAGACCCGAATTTCGGGTTGGGGGGGGGTAAGGGTTCCACATATGTTTTTTCGATGTTTCACGACCCCCCCCACTGGAAATCGAGGGTAAATCTGAGCCTTCGGGTTGGGTTGGGGTGGTTTGGTGGGTGGTGAGAAAACATGCACACGTCCGAGCGGTGCCAGGTCGGAGGAGGGGCCCCAACCCGCCGGGGGGCACGTGCGGGGGGGGGGCCCTGCTGCACGCCCCCTGGAGCTGGCCCATGCGGCCCCGAGCCTCCGGCGGGCCGCCTCTGCCGGTCCGCAGGCCTGGATGGAGCTCCTGCCCCCCCCCCTCTCCTGGGGCCAATCCTGACGGGGCCCCAGGACACGCAAATAAGTACACACAAGCAAATGATTCCCCATACTTTCCCATATATATATATATATATATATATATATATTTGTCTTCCCCACCACTTCCCATATTTTCCCAGATTTTCCTGGGAGCCGACGATGAATTGTGTCTGTGTGTTTCTTTCCCTCCTGAAATCTGCCATCCCCGAGCGTCTCCCGACTGCCCCGGGGCCCGGGAACAGCGCCGGAGGCCGTGCCACAGGAAAACCACGCTGGGGCTGGAGAGGAAGTCGGGCAGGGGCCTGCGGCCGCGCCTGCCTAGGACGACGCCAGGACAGAGGACCAGATTCGGACCACGACAGATCTGGGGCCTCTCAGAGCTGGCGGTTCTGGAAGATGCCTCTCCCTGTCGCCCGTGCCAGATGGCGCCCCTTCGATTACCTGGGTGCCAGCAGTGTGCCGAATCAACATGGCCCCCAACAAACTCAAAACAGCATATCCGCGCGCACAGTCGATCATGCCTGTAACTGCTTACGAATGAGCTCTTAGCCTGGGAAAGCACTGGCACCAGACGCGGAGGCCCATGCTGCGGAACCCAGAGCCGACGGGGCATGGCAGCGCCCGTCCTGGAGCACTGTGGGGCGTGTGGCCTCAGCATAGGGCGTAAGTTCCCAAGACAAGACGCCCTCAGGATACGATTTCTCTCGAGCCACGGCCCCAGAACTCCCGACCACTTCCTGCCCCAGCACTCCCCGCCTCCTGGTTAGGGTTGGTGTGGCGCCCCGGCTCAACTTCTGGTGGCCCTGGGGCCCGATGCGCCCCGGAGGCCGCGATCGCGGGAAACCGCCCGCACTGAACACCTCGGGACGTCGGAGATCTGGGATGGAGCCCGGCGGATCGGCGTCGGCCGCCGCCATCCCGGGAGGCCTGGCTCCACCAGGGCGGGGGGCGGCGGGGGAGCACTGCGCGCGGCATCCCGCCGGCACTCGGTCTGCCAGTGCTGCTCTTGCTCCCGCCCGCCCGGCTCCGTCGCCCGCACGGGCTGCATCCTCCTGGCCTTTCCCCTTCCCCTCCCCCCCCCTGCTCCATCTCCATCTCCTGACCCGTCCGTCCTCGTCGTGCTCCTCGTCATTTTTCTACTTCCTCCTCAACCTCCTCGTCGCCTGCGCCTCCTCGTCCGCCTCTCCTCCCTCCTTCCTCTCTTTTGCTTTTTCCTCCTTCTGCCGCTCCCCCCACCTCCTCCATCCTCCCTGCCTTCCCTTTCTTCGTCCTCGTCCTCGGCCTCCTCCTCCTTCTCCTCCTTCTCCTTCTTCTCCTTCTTCTCCTTCTCTCCTCCTCCTTCTCCTCCTCCTCCTCCTCCTCCTCCTCCTCCTCCTCCTCCCCGTGTCCGAAACTTTTCCCCTTAGAGCCCTGAAACAAGAACCTCCACCGAGGGGGGAGAGGGGATGAGGAAGGGGATGCATTGAAATACGAGTATAGGAAGGATGCGAGAGACTGCGAGGGGGGAGGAGCATGAGGATACACACGGATGCACATATATATATATATATATATATATATATATATATGTATATACATATATATATATATACGTACACACATATATATATATATTTATGTATATATATACATATATATATATATATGTGTATATATATATAACAAGATTCTAGGAGAGGACGGTCAGCAAAACGCGAGGAGGGGGATGAAGGGACCGTGGAGGAGATGGACAATTACGGGGTGAGGCGAGTGGGCAGGGGAGATGGTGGGGGGAGGACGAAAGGGGGAACCAGGGGGATGAGCATGAGTATTGTGGGCAAGAGGAAAGCAGGAATAGGGCAAGGAGGATGAGGAGCAATAGGAGCGAGTCTACGCGGCTAACGAACGACAAGGGACGGCGGCGGCGGAACCGACACCAGCCCGAGACGGAGAAAAGGGAAGGGAGCCTGAAGGGACGTCTATGGGGCATGGGGAACCTGCTTTCACAGAGAAACGCCTTTCTAAAACATTGCTTCCCTGGGAGCTCCCACGACACCGACCAGTATCAAGGGGCCCTGGGACACACAAATAAATATACACAAATAACAGGATTCCCCATATTTTCCCATATTTTCTGGATTATTGTCTCCCCCCCCACTTCCCATATTTTCCCAGATTTTCTGGGGAATCGTGGATGAATTGTGCATGTGTGTTTTTTCCCTCCTGACATTATTCCCACCGCCTCGTCCTGGTTCTCGGAATGCTGGCCTTATCAGAACCGTGGGGGACGGACTGAATATGGAGGGACCGTGGGCCACGGGGAAAGGGAAGCGGGGTGGGCGCGGAGCTGTGTGGAAGCACTCCGTGTGGTACGATGCCGCGCTCCATCGGGTCGCGTACAGGGCAGTTTTTAATACATGGGATTTTTAAGACTGTAGGATTTTTGAAGCATGGTTAATGCATGAATGAAATTATGCATGAACCCATCGTTGTTTTAAATACTAGATCCCTGCATTTTTAATACATGATCCGCACGCGGAACATGTATATACAAAACGGCACTGTAGCCGATGACTGCTCTGGAGGGCCGGCAGTGCTGCTGGTTCTCTCGCTGCCTGAGCTGGCCAAGGAGCTTCGCCGCGTCTCTCTCGAGCGGGCCGCGGGGAGCAGGCCCCACCAATCGTTCCCTCTTTGATGTGCAGGATCGCCGTGCGCAAGCATGGGATCAACTCGTGGCCGAGCTCGTGGTCGGAGTCCACTGCTATGGTCAGCCGGCCCTGCTTCTCGACTGCGTTCTCGTTCCCGTTCCATTTCCACTGCCGCTGGAATACAATCTCCTCCATTTGCAAGAGGGGTACCTGCTCTCTGCCCCAATGGGTCGTCTGCTGAGCGAAGAAGACCATGCCGCTCATGAGCGTGCGTATATGCGGGGCCCTCGACCTTTGAATTCTCCAGGTTCTTTCCTGTCTGTTGTTTTGTTGGCGAGGTCCTGCGGTAATTGTCCCCTGGCGGCGTCTGCCTGCGATCTCAAGTGTGTCCGTGAAGCCACTTTCCACGTGTGCCATGGCCCCAATCGCGCGGGCCGTCGCCGTCAACACTGCGATGGCTTTGCTGTCGGCGAGGACGAGCCGCGCGATGAGCATGGCCAATTGTTCGATGATTTCGTTGTCGGGCTTGCCCGCCTCGAGCTTGGCCCTGGCCCCTATCTTGGTCGTCGTTTGAGCAGGGACCGACCGTCCCGGCAGTCCTATAGTCCTACCACGGAATGTTCTTAGAACCCAAACATGTTCTAATAACAAAAACGATGTTCTTAGAACATAAGCCCGAGGTGATAAAACAAGGCAGACTCCACCAGAAATGTTCTACGAACATTTCGTTGGAACCTCAAAAGGTTCTTAGAACATTGTTTGGTAAGGCTATGGGCGAGCCAGGACGCTTCGCCATTGCTTGAATCTTGGGGTCTGGCGCCCCCCCGGCATGCTGGGGCCGCTGCAGCCGGTCGGGCGCTCCGAGCCCCGCGCGCCCCCGCGCCTGCTTCAAGGGCCGAGATGTGGGCGGGCGGCAAAACGCCTGCAGCGAGATGGCTGCGGAGATGTTTGCATGGGTCGCCCGCGTCCGCAGCTCGATATTCGCGCGGGGCGCGCTGCGGGGGGGCCATGGGGCAGGGCCGAGAGAACTGCGACGGCACCCCGGCCTGGGCACTTGCCTTTCAGGAAGGCCCGATGGAGGTGATAGTAAGCGTTCTCCTGGCGCCCGGAAGTCTGCCGGCAATCTCTGCGCGCTTGTCGGGGCGGGGATTCAGCGGGGGTCGCGGGCCAAGTGGGCCCGTCACAGATGGTTATGATGATCATCGCGACGGGCTCCAAATTTGCCACTGCACGAATCTTTTCCACTCCCACGTCTGCTTCGGGCTGCGAATCGCACGTCCATCCATGATCCTGCGCGCCTCATCTGGTGGAAAGGCAAGGTCTGGCGCCGTCTTCGTTCGAGGCGGAGCAGCGGCGCGCGACTTGGCCCGAGCTCGGACCTTCGCGGAATCAAACTGGGGGGGGTGGAAGGGGGGGGGGGCCCTCAGATACATCCATGCCGTGCGGCCAGGGTTCAAGGTTGCGTAGCTGCAAGCGTCCTGCCCCCCATCCAGGCCCCCAGCTGTCTGCTCCGAGTTCGAGTTCCCCTGGGGTGGGGGGGCCATGGAGGCGCCGGAACAAACGGAGCGCCCCCGCGGGGGCGCCCCCCCAAGCCGCCCCCCCCCCCCGCCCCTCGATCACCCAGCACTTCAATTAACCTCAAGGGAAGACATCGCTCCTGCGAGCGCCTCTGCACCGACAATTAGCAAGCTCGGTATCCTGCGATGCTATTCCCCACTGCGCCGGGATCAGCTTCGTCGACGTCGATCGTACGACGTCCTCGCGATGCATAGTGTCTCTGCCTTACGTCGCTCGGCGACCGAATCGGGCGATTTGGCCGTCGAGTCGGACGCGCTGGGCGGGGGCGACTGGCGGCGCCCATCGGTGCGAGAGCGAGAGAGACCGTGGTCTGCCCCATGAGTGAGAAGAGTCGGCGCGCGCCGTGCAGCGTCGGCCATTCTCGACCTCGGCCGACTGGTTGACGTTCAACATCGCGCCCAAATGCCGCGCCGCATCTGTGAAATTACCTGGCGTAAACTCAGATTGGGGGCGCGCCCGCCTCTCGGTGGTGACGGCCGTTTGTTTAGTGAAAATTAGCCCATACTTCCGGCTTAGCTGGATTTCGATCATGATACATGCCCTACTTCATGTGGCTTCCGATTCGAATCATCGCGGCAATCTTTCAGCGTGGCCAGTGCACTTGTAATGGGGGATGGAGCTGGCGACAGACGCGTTTGAAAGACGTCGCCGGCGCTGGTGCATCCCCCCGCGCTGCTTTGCCCATTCGCTCTGTTGCTTTTGACGCTATCGGTTGAATCGCATATTCCCATGATGTTAGCGCTCTTGCAGATTCCCTGAAATATCTGGGCAACGCGCGCCCTCCTTCCCCCGTCGGGGGCGCGCAAACGTGGAATGGCGATCCGTGGATTTGGAACGCGGTCGCCAAATCCATGGCTCGGGGGAGGTGCCCGCCCCGAAATGCGGCCGGGGCCGCCTCGTTCGGGGCGGAAATCAATGATTTCCCGTGGGGGCGGGGCCCGTGGCCAATCCGCGCCCCCTTGGTCCGAACTTGCGATCGCCGGACCCCCGCCCCCCGCGCGCGCGCCGCCCCCGCCCCGGCCGCGCTCCCCCGCGGGCCCGGCTTCCTCCGTCTTCAAGGCCACATCCTCCTCCTCCAAGGTCTCTAGGGGAGTCGAGCTGAGCTCGACGCGCTGGGCGCGAGCGGGCGTTCTCCTCCAACTCCACCCCCTTCTTACTGGCAAAAGCTTTGCTCAAATCCCTGCGCCTCGCGGCGAAAGGACGACCTGCCTTCCGCAAGCGCCAGTCTGGAATTTGGCCCACGAAAATGGCGCCCTCGCGCCGCTTGTCTGGGATCCAGCCACGCTCGAGAAACTTGCGTAGGATGTAGAGCATATCACGAAAGAGGGCGTCGGATGCGCTCATCGACCGCATGAAGAATCCGACGGCCCGTCGGTCCTGGACACGCATTTTTCCTCGGCTGCGGGGTGGGGCTGCGTTGCCAGGGAATCGTGGCTGGGTCGATCTGGTCTGTCGAAAGGCTGCCTCCATCCGTTGTGACAGGGCTTCCGTATCGAGTAAAGACACATCAATGCCAAATCCGTAACCCTTCTTCTTGATGATCCTCTCGGGGTCGCAGCGCATCAGCCATGGCCGCGTCGGTGCCGTCGTCGGCAACGCTGCTCGATGCTTCTGTGGCCTCTTGAATTGCTCCTTGATGCGCCGTGTCTCGCTGTGGCAATTCACAATTGCCAGCGCAGATTTGCGCGGGCCCACGGTCGTGTTATTATGCTGAGACTTGCTCCGCAGTCCTTGGCGTGACGTCCGTGCGCCATTACATCTAGACAACGCACACACTTCCGTAAGGTCTGCTTCCGCAAACGCGCCACCCCTGATCAACCTCCCATCTCGTTTTTGTACCATGCTTACATGCTCCCGCCATGCGTGTGACTCTTATCGTTTCTGCCAGCTTCCGGTCGTCCCACGACTCGTGGATTTCCTGCAGAAGCTCCATTTTGTCGGAGCCGTTGTAGTTCTGTTCGCTGGAATAGGAGCTGCTGTGAGATCTGCCTGCGGTGAGCTTCGCAAAGCCGCCAATATTTCATCATCTGCGTCAGCACGTGCCAATCTAAATTCAGCCCGTTCTAGTAGCCGTTCACGCTCATCTTTTCCGTGCTGGCAGGTCTCGTCTGCTTAGAAAAACTGCTGTCCCGCCTCTTTGACGGCTGGCGCGGTGTTCGGCGGAGGGCCACAAAGTTGCTGTCCCAACACTCTTGCGCCCAACATCTGCTCAATCTTCCGATGGGCCGACCGAGTACCTGCCGGTGTGATGATATCCGTGTTGGGGAATGCTGAAATAATCTCCTCCAAACGCGACCCAGCCGCACGCAGAGGGTCTAATCCCAGAGCGCGGAAAGGGACCGCCCGTGCCAGGCGCGGCGTTCGGCGGAGGGCCAGACGGGTCCCCTGGTGGACAGCATTGACGCTGCTGTGATCCTGCCTTAGGCTGTCACGGCAGCTAACAGGAGGGAAGAGCAGGAAAAGGAGAAAGAGGACACCGAGTGAAAATGAAAAAGGACGGCCAAAATGAGGAGGAGGAGGAGGAGGAGGAGGAGAAAGATGAGAAAGAGGAGGAGGAGGAGGAGGAGGAGGAGGAGGAGGAGGAGGAGGAGGAGGAGGAGGAGGAGGAGGAGGACGACGAAAGCCGACCTCTTTGGGCTCGAACGTATCATCCGAACCTCTGACGCAAGTCGACACCTCAGACTCGCCTAGGACCGCGCTCCGCTCAGGGCCTCGAGGCGGACCCAGCCGTGGCCACGAGGGCACCCCAGAGAGCCAAGGACAGATCAGAGACATCAAACGCCCTCCACCCCTCCCTCCCCTTTCCCTCCCCCCCCCTCCCCTCCCCCTCCCTCCCTTCCCTTCCCCCTCCCCTTCCCCTTGCCCCTCCTCCCCCTCCTCCCCTTCCCCCCTCTTCCTCCTCCGCCTCCCCTTCCCCCTCCTCCCCTTTCACTCCTCTCCCTCCTCCCCTTCCCCTCCTCCCCTCCCCCCCCTTCCCCCTCCTCCCCTTCCCCCTCCTCCTCCTCCTCCCCTTCCCCCTCCTCGCCTCCCCCCCTTCCCCTCCTCCCCTTCCCCCTCCTCCTCCTCCCCTCCCCCCCCCCCCCTCCTCCTCCCTCCCCCCTCCTCCCCTTCCGCCTCCTCTCCCTGCCCCTTCTGCTGGCTGCCTTTGCTGGCCACGGCTCGGGCCTCGTGCGGCCGCTCGGGACGACTCCGGCCTATCGATCCTTGGGGCCCGAGAAATATCCAACCAGAGGTGCCAGACAAAAATACTGACAAACTTGTCCAGTCTACCCAGGAAGCCAAGGTCCTATCAACCTATCCTGGAAGCCAATATCCTGAGACTATCCTGGAGCCAATATCCTTGAGACTATCCTGGAAGCCAATCTCCTATCAGACAAAAATACTCCGAGCATCGCTGGCAGGAGTCCGTCAAGCGTTCACAACGGCGCTGCTTCTTGATCCTTCGATGCCAGCTTCCCCAGGAGCATTCCGGCGGAGACGGAGCTGCTGGAAGACGCCGTGGTGCCCGAAAGCTCGTCGTCGTCGTCGTCGTCGTCGTCGTCGACGTCGTCGTCGTCGTCGTCGTCGTCGTCGTCGTCGTCCTCCTCGTCCTTGGCGCGAACCACAGAGCCCCTTTTTTTTGATCCTGCGATGCTGGCTTCCCCGGTCCAGAAGTCTCCCGTGGAGGCGGAGCTATGGAATGCGCCGAGGGGCACGACGACGACGATGACGAGCTTTCAGGCCCCTCGGCGTCTTCCAGCAGCCCCGCCTTCGCGGGAGGCTTCTGGGGAAGCCGACGCCGAAGGAGCAAAGGCAACGTCGCTATGGGGTGCCCCCAATGGCTCGCGCCAAAGACGACGACAAACCTTCGGGCCCCTCGGCATCTTCCAGCAGCTCCGCTTCCTCGGGTCGGCATCGAACGATACGTGACACCGTCGCTGTTGGCGGGGCCGCGTGGCTGGCGCCAAAGAGGACGACGACGACGACGACGACGGCATCTCCCAGAAGTTCCGCCTCTGCGGGAGGCTTCCGGGGAAGATGGCACCGAAGGATCACAGTCAACGCCGCTGTGGGGGCGGCCGCATGGCTCGCACGCCACGGGCGGCGGCGACGACGCCGCCGCCGACGGCCCAGACATCCAGCGGTTCCACTCTGCTCGATGCGTGGGGCCTGGAGGCCCGGGGACCACCTCTTCCCCGGGGCCAGTCTTGCCCGTCCCGAGTCGTCTGTGGATGGCCCTGGGGCCCCGCGAGGGCTCCCAAAGGCCGAGACAGCCCCAGACCGCCCGCTTCCATCTCCTGGGGGCGTCGGATCTCTGGTTGAGCAGGGACCGACCGTCCCGGCATTCCTATGATCCTACCACGCATTGTTCGTAGAACCCAGAAATGTTCTAATAACAACAACAATGTTCTTAGAACATAAACCCGATGTGTTAGAACAAGGCAATATCAACCAGAAATGTTCTAAGGACACTTGGTGGAAACCGCAAAAGGTTCTTAGAACATTGTTTGGTAGGGCTATAGGCGAGCCAGGACGCTTCGCCACTGCTTGATCGGGGGAAGACGACGAGCTCTCGCGCGCGCGCGCGGCCGAGCTCTCGCGCGCGCGGCAAAAAGTGGCATAGACATAAAAACTCGCGGACCTCCGAGTTTTTATGTTTATGCCACTATTTGTTCCCCTGAGAGCGCTCCAGGACGATCTGTCCCGGCGCCGCCCGCCTGGCGCCCGAGGCCTTCTGGCCGAGCAGGGGGCCCCCGGTACACCACCACCCCGCTCGGCGAGGGCCGCCCCGGGCCCCGGCACGGTGCATGCGCCCCCCCTCGCTGGCCGAGGCGAGGCGGGTCTGTGCACTGCCCTGGGGCCCAGGCCGGTCCTGGCCAGGCGCGGTGGTGGTGCGTACGGCAACGTTCGTGTCGCGTCGACCCCGGCGCCGCTTCCTGACGCCACGGGGATCGCTCCACATTGAGCAACCGATCGCTCACCGTCCACCGATTCTGGGTCGCCGGCGGCGTTCATCGTCGACCCCCCGCGCCGGAGTCGCCGCTGGTCGACACGACGCGAGCCTTCCGTAGGTGCCTTCTTCGAACGGAGACAGCTCCCGAGAGACTCCGGGTCGAGCCAGGGACGGCTCCGCGCAGACCTCTCGGGCCGCTCTGCGGTGCTCGGGGCCTGGCCCGTGCCGCTGGGAGGCGGCTGTATGTACATGCGCGGCGCCCAGGAGAAGGACCAACTGCGGTGGGCTTCCCGCTCCGCCGGTCGGGGCCCTGCCTCGTATCCACCGCCGCCTGTCCTGGCCGTGGGGCAGGATCGGTGCGCTGGTGCCCAGGACACCAACCTTCGCGCGGTCACGGTGGAGAAAGGCAGCTCTGCAGCCCAGCCCGCGAAGCGCGGCCCGAGGCAAGATGTGTCTGCGTCGACCCTTTCCCAGGGTCGGAGGTGATGTACAAGAGGCAGGTCCCCGCGTAGGCGACGCTCCACGCGCACGGCCGTCCGCGAGCCTCACAAAACAGAAGGCCGATTGCGGAAAACGATCTGCCGCCACCGGCCCTGCGAGGAGTCTAAAGACAAAACGGGATTACCATCGATTTGAATCGAACCTACACACAAGTATTTACATGGTTCGTGGGCCGACATTGCCCGTATTATATCCACCCTTCTGATCCACTCCGACAAGTCGGGGTTGATTGCGAAGCGACTTATTTTCCAACACTCCAGAGCTTTTCTTTCGCAACGGTATTAGATTACCCTTCGGGTAATAAAGACTTGCGCTAGGGCAATCATGCCTCCTTCGGCTTACGAATAGCTGCGCGCCGGAATGCCAAGCCATACATGGAAGTATGTGCGCCCGCGTAACTGTTCAATCTGCAAATTCGTCTAAAACCTAGTTCGTCAACCCTTGTAACTCTTGTGCCTCTTCTCACTCTCACTGCCCTTCTACAAGGTACCATCTGCTTACATGCCAAATGTACCAACGATTATAAATCCTGTCGCTCTTCCATGGTTCTTCCCACTTGATAACTCAGCCGCTTCTAACGCCACTGTCAACTGTAACAACTCCAACTGTTCCGCCGTTTTTCACTATTGCAGCTTACTTTATCTCTTGGCCAGATACGGACTCCTGTCTGTTTTAAACGTATCAACTGTTCTAGCTACTCTAACCTATCTGTGCAGCCAATCCTTTCTGGCTAGTCTTACACATATTATCCTTGCCATCTCCTGCCACTTGAACTGGCGATGCCACCTCTACGATCTTGCCTTCTTATGACTCGTCTAACGGTCCTTAAGTAATGAACTCTTCAAATATCACCCTCATATATTTCGAATTGCTCTTCTGACTCCTTCCGAGTCTTCTCACCGTTCGAACGCTTCTAGCTCGTCTCATGCCTGCACCCCTTTTGGGCCGTCTAGCTACACATAAACACCTCCAACTTCTCTAGCTCCACTGTGGTCCTGGCTCCCCCGCGGCCTGGCTGACCAGAAGACGGCCCTGGGACAACCGCGCCGGCCAACCACAGGACAATCGCAGAGCACCCATGGGACATGCGCGTGGCCACGAGGCTACCCCTGGACAGCCCAACGGGCCCGCGGCGAGCATCCGAGGCAAGCGACAACCACAACACAACCGTACGATATCGGCGGGTCAACCCAGGAGACCACAGCAACGGGGATCGAACTAAATAATGTTTTCGCTGTCGCGTTTTTGTTGTTCCCTCCTTAGGTCTTCAATCCGCCTTTGCTGCAAAACGAAACCGACACGAAACTGGCCCACGAACTCGCCAACACACCGCTTGGGTCGACCCCTGCAGAATAGGGAACGCGCGCAGGAGCAATCTGAAAAGAGACGTGCAACATCTCTCTTGCCCTCGCGCAACTTCCCCGCGCTCTCATGCGCGACACGAACCGCGACCAGAACATATTCCCGTCTTTAGGAAGCTCGATATGACTTCGGTCACACCACACCCAGACCTCTACTCTTCGCTAAGTATTCCTCACCTTTCTTCGAGTTCGAAAGATTTCTAACGCATTGACGCAACATGTAATGGTACCCACATCCCTCTAGAACGCGGCACTTCTTAGGCATGGGTGGGGGACACCAACGTACCATCTTTGCCGAAGGCACAGGAGCTGGATGACAAGCATGCTGCAAGCTCGTGCTGACGTTCTCGCGGGTAACTTGGGTGCAATTGCGCGACCCACGCACGTTTTTCCAAACGCAAATTTCATCGAAAACTGAGGGTTGAAAGCAAATTGACCCCGACCGGGAAATCTATTTTGGCTTCGGATCGTGCCGTGCGGACAAGGCAAAGCTTCCCGAAGGCAACATGTCCCGCTCCGTGCCTGCCGCACGCCTCCCAACTTATCCCAGGGCTGACCCCCAATTGCCTCGTGCATGTCCTGGGCCTGGCGCGGCTCCCGGGATCTTCTGCAACTGTTTCGTGGGGGTATTGTGATAGTTCCGCAATGTAAATGCAGCGGTAGATTGTGCGACTTTGCCGCCGTTATCCTGTTATCATATTCGCATCGGAAACAATCACATGGGCGATTACGTGACTGTCCCGTTCGATTGGCATCTTGGGGTACATACAGTTCTTTATGTTTACACCTTCGCATGCATATCATGGTGTATGTAAATGGCCACTGTGCCTGTCTCGGGGCCCTGTTGGCCCGCTTTGGGGCGCTCTTGGCCGCGAACAAATCATGCAACAAACGCCCAGGAACCGCGGGAGGCACGCCGAGCAACACGGATCAATTGAACATACCTCAATACCATTTTTGGGAAATGAAAGCTGCAGGGGCTCTGGGGGCACTCCAACTCATGTCTCGCGCAAGCCATATCATATAGCGGCATATGTATTGATACATTTGAGTGGCTATATATATATATAGCAAATATCGGAAGTTGTGGGGTGAGATCGAAGTGGAACGGAGAGCCCCCCTACCAGGAAATCGATTTCGGTTTCGTGTTCGTGCCGTGCGGGCGGGCGAGGCGAAGCTGCGTGGGCGGGGGAAAAGAAATTCTCCTGTGGCTGGGCCGCGGCTGGACCAACAAAAATCTCCGCCTGGCAACCGGTGGCACGCGGTGTCCCGCCGGTGTCCCGCTGGTGTCCCGCTGGTGTCCCGCCCGTGTCCCGTCGTGGCTGGGCCGCGGCCAAACTAAAAAATTCTCCGCCCAACAACGCATGGCGCGCGTTGTCCCGCCGGTACCCCGCTGGTGTCCCGCTGGTGTCCCTCCGGTGTGCCGTCGTTGTCCCGTGGTGTCTGGTGGTGAGATCGACAGTGAGATCGATAGTGAGATCGATAGTGAGATCGATAGTGAGATCGATAACGAGACCGATAGTGAGATCGATAGTGAGATCTATAGTTAGAGATCAATAGTGACATCTATAATGAGTTCGATCGTGATATCGATAGTGAGATCGATAGTGGGGTCGATCGAGTGGGATCCATAGCGAGATCGATAGTGGAATCGATAGTGAGATGAATAATGAGATCGAAAGCGAGATCGATATTGAGATCGATAGTGGAATCGATCGTGTGATGGATAGTGAGATCGACAGTGAGATCGATTGTGTCCCGTCGGTGTCCCATCGGTGTCCCGTCGGTGTCCCGTGGTTTCACGTGCTGAGATCGATAGTGATATCGATAGTGATATCGATAGTTAGGTCGATGAGACCGATCGTGAGAACGATAGTGAGATCGGTAGGATGATCGGTACTGAGATCGACTGTCAGATCAATAGTGTGATCGATATTGAGGCTCTTAACATTTCGTTGGTTCCCAGGGGAGGGGGGGAATGGTACCAAGGCGCCCAAGTGCGGAAGGTGACGTAAACAACTCGACACCAAGGCTCCCAAGAGCGAGCGGCAACGCAACGATCTCCACTGGCATCGTCAGAACAACAATCACCACTGTTGCCCATTGCTGGCCCCCTCCCCCCAACCTCCTCATCACCCGCAGGGTGGTCGTATAGGTACGTATACATATATATATATATGGTTATTTGTATATGTGTAAATGAACGTATCGCTACGGGTACGCTGCTAGACCATAGTACCGCCGACTGAAAATTAGCCGATACATCTAGTTATACATACACTACATGTAAAGATATACTTTTCGGCAATGCACTGTTAGATC